TTTCCATATCAACATTTACTTTACTTCACTCATATAAACATATAAAAACATACAAAAAATATCTCCCAGCTTTTCAACTCTTTCCATTATCTGATTCCACTCAAAATTCCACTAAGTCTCAGCTGATTCCACGTTGATCTAGGTTTGATAAGAGACTACTACATATAGTTTTCTCCATCATCAGTTTTTTTGCCACAACAATAAAATAAAATTGTTGTCAGAATTCTAGTGTAGTACATTAGAGGGGCAGGTCTTTCAAACCACCCGTAACAGTTGTAATAAATTCATACATACCTGAAATATCATAACTGCTATTTCCCCCTCACAGGACTGCCATCCATCCCAAAGGAGTTCTCACATCTGGTGTCCCAACAGTGGCCGAAAAACGTTCAGACGATCAACAATAACTCTCCCTCAGCACCAGAAGACTAGATAAGTGGATAACAAAGGGAACTGGGTAACTAGCAGACAGTGAAGTTAGAACTTTGAAAAATCAACCAAGGACCAAACCAAGGTCAAGGGAAAGGGAGGCAACAGCTGCGGTTTTCAAGAAATTCTTTCCGGAACTTAAGCTAGAGTCAAGAATGTCCACCCAAGAAGAATTCAGCATGGAGCAGTCAGCAATCATTTTAAAGAATCAAGCCCAAATATCAGAGCTTGAAGATTCAATTCATTGTATGCAGGAGACAGTAAATATCTTACTCAAACAAATGAAGATATCACAGTCACTTCCAACAGATTCACCAGAGGTCTTGAACAAGGAAATTATGGAGATTTGTCAAGATGAAGGCAGGTTTGACTCGCCACCCACATCAACAAAACCAGTTTTGGATCAGGAATGCCCCTTCTTTGGTTGTAGTTATTCAGTTCAAGTAAAAGATTGGGGCAGTTATTCTGACATCAGAGAGGAGACGATCAAATATGACCATGAAGAGGCACATGACGTAGAAGAACTTTACCCACTTTCAGATCTAGAGAATGCTGTTCCCCAAGAACCAAATTTAGAAAATCAACAGAGGAAGAGCTATCAAGAAGTTCCAGCTTTGAATAATAAATATTCCCACAACTTCTGGAAGGATGAAAGACCCCTGAAACTTTTTAGAAGGGTATTTTCAGAAGAATGGTATTACGGTGAAATCAAAAGAACTTATCAACTGCTTCAAGAGTTACCGGGTGGTGGAACTAGCAATTTGGATTTTATACACATACTCACAGATATTGGAACAGAAGCATTCTTGAAGGAAGGCCATTGGAAATCTAGATATGGCCAACTTGGATATAAAATTAGGATCAACATATATAATGAAGATAAGAAAGGGATTGAAATGGGCTGGGAAGACTCCACCTGGAGGCAAACCTTTTTCAAAAAAATAGCAATTTTTTGGTCTTGTGCAAGAGAATGCTCAATCAAATTATTGATTCCTTTATCAAGATAATATGGCTGAAGGTGTAAGATAGATCAGAGCAAGCTATTAATAAATATTGTACAAAAGCATAACCACCAGTGGCACATCAAATCAACTCTCCAACTGAAAGCAGTAATCCTTTATACTGCTTTTTGAGGACTTGGTCTTAACCTCTTTTTACATAAAAACCTGTATTCTTTTCAGGATAGTTATACTTTTTTAGGATGATCAAGCTTCTTATCTAAGTACTAAAACAGAAGAATACAACTGGCAGATTATAGTGATAAAAGAAAGAGGATACAACAGAATAGTATATACAAGGTTTTTTTTTGGAGTTACATTATCCCCCTTATATAGTATAGCAGGAGTGAAAATTTGGCTTGCCTGAGGTCAAACATGGACCACCCTGCTCAATTAGAAATTCACTATAAGCATATTTCCTATCATTACTCAGTATAAGCATAGTTCTATTTCTACTCAGTATAAGCATATCTTTATTTTAACTCAGTATAAGCATATTTTTATTTTTACTCAGTATAAGCATAATTTTCCTTCTTACTCAGTATAAGCATATTACTTTGACTCAGTATAAGGATACTTTTCCTTCTTACCCAGTATAAGCATATTCCTTTGACTCAGTATAAGGATAATTTTCCTTCTTCCCCAGTATAAGCATATTGCTTTACAACTCAGTAGAAGCATATTTTCTGGTCAATTTCACCCACACTTTTGGAAGATGAATTACAAGCAACGTGGTTTTTGGGGCCCAGGAAGTTTCAAGGTTTTCAAATCAATATGAAGAGAACTTATGCGCAAGGTGTTTGGGGAAGAACGATTACTGTGGAATATCAATACAGAAGTAACTGGGTACCGGGGTCCTTCATGACCTTAAACTGAAAGATCAACCAATCTGGGGTCCTTCATGACCTTAAACTGAAATATCAACCAACCTGGGGTCCTTCATGACCTTAAACTGAAATATCAACCAACCTGGGGTCCTTCATGACCTTAAAATGAAAAAATCAACCGATCTGAAGGGGGTCCTTCAGGACCTTAAACTGAAAAATCAACCAACCTGGGGTCCCTCATGACCTTAAAATGAAATCTAGAAATGGTCGGAAACGGAAAAGACAATGTTCCCTCATGACCCAAAACTGGAAGTATTGTAAAAAGGCGGAAATAACTGGAAACCGGGGTCCATCATGACCTTAATCTGAAATTGATGTGGAGAAAAACAACTGGATTCACAAAAATGCTGTACAATCTAACAGTGGAACCTTTGGTGATTTCAAGAGAAGAATCAATGTGAATGAAATTTGGGGCAAGAAAGGACAGGATTTACAAGAAATAGAATTACCACCAAATATTCCAGAATAATTTGAACTACCGGATCACATGAACCATTGATTTGAAGGATAGGGGACAGAAGAGAAAGCACTAACCAGGTGGAGATTGAAGACATGGGTTTTTAGGGTAATGATTTAAACAGTAGTATGGCTAAAACCTTTTTTGGTAAACTGGGGATTATTTGAAGGAGGCTTAGGAGTATTCCGCTGGGGGAAAGGTGTTTTGAAGGTGTTTCGGACAACCATGGAACTCAGCATATGGAGATTTTTGAGGGGCCTCTTCCAAATACATCAACCACTGGCCTTTTCCTTGGACCAATGAGATGAAAGAGATTGAAATAGATTCATTAGGCGCCTTTGATTTGGACGTGGCAGGCGTAGGAGAGCACGAGAAGTTCTAAAAAGGATAGATGATACTACTGTTGGATGAATTACTTAAAAAGAAATCAGTTGGATATATGAAAACCAGTTCAGTGAAAACTCAGCAAAGAACTACAATTCAAATCAGACAGAAAATGGATCAAGGAGGAGTTTTTATTACAAAAAAAAAATAGCATATCAAGGGTTCTCAAAATGCTTAATCAGAGACAAGATACTACAGAAGAAAGAAGTAAATATTTATGCTACAAAGAAAATCACAACCTGGGAGGTAACACGAGTCAATTTCAATCATCAAGGAAAGAAGCTGCACAGGGGTCATAATTAGTATCTTCAATCAAAATATTTTTAAGAGTTAGAAATAAAGTTAGGTGAAAGTTTTTTTTTAGTGCGGGTACATCTGATGGGATCAGTTAGTATCTATATGTTTATGGGCTATTTAGTTTGATAGGTACTATTTAAGACAGGGCTGCAGACTCAGATATGAAGGGAGAGAAAGATAAATGTTACAGATTATGTTTGAGGATTTTTTTTAGACTTCAAATAAAGTACTGTCTGATTTGTGGAATTTGGTACTTGAAACAGGAATGCTGCGGACAGCATTAAGTTGGGGGAGGATGTAGTGTGCCAAATGTGTTTCAAGTACCAAATTGCATAAAATCATGATCCACTCTTGATAATAGGCTAGATTCTTGGTGTTATTATTACTTCAATAGATTCTACAGGTCATTTAACCCATAGTCACTCACTGGAACCACTAGGCTAGCTCCACTCAGTCAAAAGGTATTTGGATAAAGCAGTTTTTTTTCTACAGTATAGTATAGTTGTCCTGGGTAGTACATAGTATAGATTTATATATAAGTGCATAGTTGCAATCTTTGTTTGTACAGGCATATGTATGATCACATGTTTAGTCACATGCATGATCACATGCTTGGATCACACGTATTTTCACATGACATCACCAGCCACACGCTTGGATCACACGTAGTTTCACAACAGACCAGCAAAAATGCCTCAACATAGAAAGAACATTCCGCAACACGTGTGATTTTCTGTATGGGGCAGTGCAGATCACATGACACACCAGCAAAAATGGCTCAATAGAAGTTTCCAAGCAGCAAAAATCCCTCAAAGAAGAAGTCACACCAGCATAAATCCCTCACAGGACATCCTCACTAGCTAAAATCCCTCACAATTTACTATATAAGGAGGTCATTTCTCCCTCCTCAGATCAGTTCCTCATGCCAATCCGGCACATCTACCAAGCTACACATCTCACCCAGAATCTTCAAGTCAAATTAAGGTAAAATCCAACAGTGTGATCTCAATCAGGTGGCCCATCAACATCTTTCATACCTCAGGAAGCATAGAAGAATTCAAGTAGCAAGTATCACCCCTTGTGCTCTTAACAAGTCAAAGTGATCTTAACCCATTTGTTCTCTTAACTGAAGATTAAGGAGGAGGGCAAAGACACTTTGAATAGTTCATATTTATCATCAGTTTCCTCTCAGTCTTTTCCATATCAACATTTACTTTACTTCACTCATATAAACATATAAAAACATACAAAAAATATCTCCCAGCTTTTCAACTCTTTCCATTATCTGATTCCAGCCTGCGGTAACCCACACCAAATTCTTTCCACTCAAAATTCCACTAAGTCTCAGCTGATTCCACGTTGATCTAGGTTTGATAAGAGACTACTACATATAGTTTTCTCCATCATCAGTTTTTTTGCCACAACAATAAAATAAAATTGTTGTCAGAATTCTAGTGTAGTACATTAGAGGGGCAGGTCTTTCAAACCACCCGTAACAGTTGTAATAAATTCATACATACCTGAAATATCATAACTGCTATTTCCCCCTCACAGGACTGCCATCCATCCCAAAGGAGTTCTCACAGCGTCTGTGAAAGTGTTTGCAGCGGCGGCGATAGGTTTAAGATCGGAAGAGAGACATTGACGAAGAAGAGTAAAAGCAAGAGCAGATTTTTTCCTGAATATTTTTTCCTTCTTATGAGCTTCAATCCAAACTGGGTCGAAAATTTCTTCATGACCCCGTCCAGTTAAAAGATTGACGAAGAATTGCTTCCATTCAGTCCAGTTATCCCGATTAAGTTTGAGTAACTTCGCTTTCTCTTGATGTTCATCGCCACTAGATGAATCGTTCATCGATGTTTTCTCCTGATGAGTTGACATTATAATCGCTTGATCTAAAACCTGATTATTCTTACTTTAAGTTTTATAACTATCAAGTATTGACTCTCGCTACCATGTAAAAATGGTTGAATCAATACTTTATAGAAATAATATTATAAAACTTAATAGAAGTAATAATCTTAACAAAAGATAATTATAAGTAAACATGATTAACATCTGATCTGAACAATAAAAAACTGAAGAAAGAAATACCTGATAAATTAGATCAGAATACAACAAAGTTAGAACACGAAACAAAACGACGTCGACTTCTTTAACACGAGGATTATCACAACGAAATAGCCTGAAAGAATAAGAAAAGAAACGGTTAATAACATGTAACAATCAAAGATAGCATAGCATAAAACACGCTGTGGTAGTCAAAAATGTGAAGAATTAAAAGTTTTTTTCTTTCTTTTCTTATACATATATTTTCTTCATATTATCACCCAATCTCTCTCAGAATTAATACCATACGGCTCATGAACTGGACTCTACGGACAAATTCACCCTTGGTCACCACGGAGGCGTCACTGGAATACACCTGGATCAACACTTATCCCACAATGGACAACATATCACACATACTTCACCCATCAATTACATGTCACCAATCACCATTACAACCCTCAAGCTACACAGACACCCTCAGTACAGTACAGCCTCATATTTACATACACACACATTTACATACACACTCATTTACATACACACTCATTTACATACACACTCATTTACATACACACTCATTTACATACATCTACACTCTTTACATTTCACTTCTACATATTACATCATACCTGCAGCCTAGATTAGTGTATTTTCCATGCATGACAGCTGCAGCTTACACCACCACACTCACTTGTAAACACATCAGAACCTGACCAATCAGAATCACTCTCTCAGCTGTTTGGCTCCCCACTTAACTCTTGTACATGTCTGACCAATCACATTCACTCATTCAACTTATGTATGTAGCTAAAATCCCTCATGTAATAGCCCAGGCCAACCAAAATCACTCATTACTGGCTGCCCTGGAGCTAAATTCCCTCACTATTTTCTATATAAGGAGGCTCTCCTCCCATTTGTTGTCTCGGCAGTGTATTATTCATCAGTCACAAGTTTAGTACCACTCAATCAAAGATACACCACCTTTACAGAACCTTACCAAACACCAATAACAACTAAACTCATTTCTCAGCATCACACAAACTCATTCCTGAACTTACCCTATCACTTGATTAAAACTTGCCAAGCTGAGCTTGGTGGGTCTTGTTATCTGATAGTATAGAAGGGCAGAGCTTGCACCTCCACCATCCCCTTCTCCATTCAGCAAAAAGGGTCTTACAACCACTTTTTGAGTCTTACAACGCTACCTGCCCAGAAGCTAGATCTAGCTCCTCCTGAATGTTAGAAGTGGTTGGTCGATGAGTCGAGTGTTGAAACTTGATTGATCAGCGATCGAATGTAACCTCAGATGATTTTGATTGTGGTGAGCAACTGTTGAAGAAGGGGAAGATGAAAGTTATCGGCGAAAGATGCAGTTGCTTGCAGAAGAAAAGAAAATGACGCAATCGATCTGAGTGTCATGATCATAGTCGAGAATGACACAATGCATAACTAATTATGCATAAAATGTGCGAGTTTGGATTTCACAACATCAACCACTCTCTATAACAATTTTTTTACAGGGAATGGTTATGGAAGAAATAAGAAAGGGATATACAATCGTGCATCATTCTTTGTCCAGACCCAGAATCAGAAGCAAAAGAGGAAATTCTGTAAACTGGAAGGTTAAAAATACAAAATTACCCTTGTTGGAAGAATTCAACTTATTCCAAAAATTAATTGACTAGGACAGATGAAATTCCATCAGATTGCATGGAGAAATATGGATGCAGATCTCAAAGACATGGATTCATTGGTAGATGATGTCTGCAGGGCAAGGTAATTGGCTAACAATCCCATCAATCTGTTCTTCAGTTTATCTTTGTCAATCAGGACTTATTTAACTGCATTCAAATAAGATGTGTCTCAACCTTAGCATGATAGTCTTCCTATGGTTTGCAACTTTTGAGCAGATTTGGCATACATTCTTGGACCTCTTTTTTGGAATAAAGAATCGAAACCAAAGCTAATTAAACCTTGGGTTTTGAAACCTTAGCCCGGACAAGTTCCGCCATTCCCATACCAGAACGGTTGAGTATCGAGATCAGAATTTCCGCTGTCTGTTCGTTTGGCTTCCATCCTCCTGATGCTGATAAGACTTTCTACGTCGCTTCCCCAGGTGCACAAAACATTCTCATTGATCCCAAAAGACCAACCGATCTTTGCTGGGGACCGAATGATCATGACATCAATCACCGCTCGTTGTTTGTACAAGAAAATAACATGTGCAGAGTTGTACCCTATCTTGAGTCTCGCCCAAGTGGCAAGTTGTACTACCAAATCATATTTGTGTCTAGAATATCTATGTGCCTTTAGGCTGTACTCTACATTCAAAATCAGCAGCTAGTTTTTTCATCTGAGAGGATAAACGCAAACCCTTCAATTGTAAAAAGTTTGACAAGACTACCCAAGATCTGTAGCTTCAAAACAAGAAAACACGGCCACTCAGTCAGAGTTTTTGGCAGGATAATTGGAACCAGTATCACATTTTGAGTGACATGAAAGTTCAGAACATGCCCAATTATTTTAGCCACCTAAAAATCAAAAGCAAAGAAGAAAAAAAAAAGAACTGCATGTTTTGAGTCATCTCAGTTAACGTTAGAATTACAATTAGGAATTGTTTGGTTTGTAGCAATCACTCGGTATGTAAAGCTACACATTTGTCTGAGAAATAATTAATTTAAATCTTTTAATGAAATCCGTAGATAGTGCTATCCGTTTCGGCAGTCGAGTCATTGGAATTGCAAGCCAGATCGTCGGTGATATCGTAGCCAGTTGCACTATCGTGACTGCTGATGATCCAATCGCGAGGATGTCCTTCCGAGGAATGGACGTAAGTAGACCGATCACTATTGGAATTAGTGCCACTGAAAGCAGCTGGCGCCTTCTTGCGAGCAGTGTCCTGACCAGCATCATAATCACTCATTTCTTTGTATATCTGATTCGGTAGCATGTCGAGTTTGCTGAAATTTTGCATTGGGCCCAACTTGATCAGTTGTTCACTTTGTCGATCGTGTCGAGTCCCTTGTTCGCTCTTTTCCAAATCGTCTCCCTCGTCATCTGTCTCCTCTTGCGCTGCCCGGAAGGGCTCTTCTAACAAGAGCCATTTCTTCAATCCGTCTTTCAGTCTAGTCAAAAGGTTCCCATCGCGCTGATAAGGCCTGTCGATTTCGTAGACTCCTTGATAAAGTTTACTTCTAGGCAGCCAGTTATCCTGAGAGTTCCCGGATTTCCTCAATTCCTTGGCGTTTTCGTCGAGCTCCTTAAATAAGAACAAATCGAGGTGAAAGTAGAGTTGATTCAAGAATCCGGGGTGGAAGACGGAATGATTCGAGTGGTAGTTGGCTCCTTCCGGGTGGCCAGAATCCTGCCCGCCATCCTGAAGCTCCCAGTCAGGTTGGAATACGTTTCTATTCATTAAAAACTTCTCCAGATCGCTTCTGATCATTGGTTTATAGCATACGCTCCCTCGATGATAAGGCGAAAAATCTTCGGGTTTGGTACTCAATCTGTTTAGTATCTTATAATTTCTTCGGTATCTTTATTGGAATGAATTCAATTTAGGTAAAAATGTGTTGTGATGATGAGCATGACCACATGCTTCAATACAAAAAATGTTATTCTCATTTTCCAAAAAAAAAAAAAAATCTAGACTCACATGTCATCGAATATTACGAACCACCACTGGTTTAGCTTACTTTTATTGATTCTTTCCATCCTCTCTTCCATTACTTGTAAGGATCCTCGACATATTTGGGGAAGACGTCTTAATTGTTGATCGACTTCATTGAGCAGTAGATGTGATTCTAACTTAGATCTCAATGCATTACTTGAGATATGATTTTGGCCTTGGAAAAAAACTTCCAGGAAGGAGAAAGACATCCTGTTCTGCTTCCAAGCTGCTTGTCTCGAGAAGTAAGAGCGATGGGACCCCAGTGCACGTTCCACTTTTTCAAGAGTAGTGTTGATGATCGAATGGTTGTCTTGAAAGAGTTTAGCCAACATTGGTGTCACTTTGAAATCATCCCTTAAGCCTATAGATCTCGGCAACCTGGTGTGATGGATTCGGGAGATGGTTGAACCATTAGACTTGATTGATTGTCCATCTTTATACTGAATCGAGACTTGAAATCCAGAATTGAAGTTGTATCCTTGCCACTTATTCTGGCAATTCCGATATATCTTTAGCACTCCGCTGCGAAAATTGACATCTGAGCGAGCTCTCTGGGACCATCTCTGGCGTCGTTCTCCTTTGATAGCCTGCACAGTCTCCCAAGGTAGTGAAAGCGGGGCAAAGACTTGCTTATTTTCCAAAGCTCGGAATATTAGCCGCACTTTTCTCCTCATCCTCACTTGAGGGTTTTGGTTCTGGGCGACAAATGCTCGGAGGTCGCCGAGTCTAGAGATACAAACCGGGGCTAGACGTTGGTCGTACTTGAAGATTACCGTGAATGGGAACGGGATCACATCTGCGCGTCCGAAAAACGTGGTAACGCCTTCCAGATCCGCCGCATTATGCGGCTTCCAAAAACAATCTGGACCAGTAAAATCACTCCGGATAATCCTTTGTATAGAAAGCGTTTTTTCATCGGATTGATCCTTTTGTAGCGCAGGTTGGCTTGCTTGCCGGTACTTACGCGCACCGAGTGCCCGAAGTAATTTGAGGTTCTCGACCAGTCGCTCGCCGTGAGTTCCTTCGAAATTGGCTAGGTAAGGTGCACCAGGAACCTCCTCGCGCCATTGCAATGTCTTCCCTTCTTCAATACGGTAATCGGGCATCCCCAAAAGTCTAACATTCAGAAACACCCAAACCGTCAGAAAGTGAAGCAGGAGCAAGCACTCAAATTCATGCTGACAATACACAAAGACTTTCGTGCCAAACTCGCCGGATCACTTCTTTCTGAAAATCAAAATCAGCCGAAAATAAACTCTTGTCGATATCCAGTTTGTGGTTGAAATTGCTGAGGAGTCGCTTTGCTGTCGTGGAATGGATTGCGAGGTAATGAATGTTTAGCAGATACACCTAATTTAAGAAAATTAATCAATCGCCGAAGGATGTTGAACAATTACTTATGGTGAGTCAATGTCATACTTTTTTTTTCTGCGCTTGCAAACCGGAGAGGGTGCTTACGATTGTAGTCCAAATTAAAACTATTGATCCAAACAATAGTTCCTGAAAATGGATAAATACTGAGCCCAAGCCGACCACACTAACAACAGAAAACGTCTTCGATCAGCTTTCCTCACATGAAAGAAACCAAAAGAGGTTGATACTGACCCCAGGAATAGGCAGAATTTGATGTTCAAGTCGTTGATCATGTTGAGGGATTTGAACCTATAAGGTTTCCAAATTGATTGAAAGATCCAAACCAAAAGAAATGCGAAAGACTAGGAGGATTGAAGACATGAGTGTGACGACAAGCAAAATCATACACATTTTCAAGAAGAAAAGAAAATCCAATCAGTAACATCATAATAGCGCAGTGTGGGTGAATGACTTTAGAAGCTGAAATTCACGTACCAAGAACAAGAACCTCATCAGATCAATCAAGTATCTGCTTGTTTCCCATCTTTTGATGAATATGCAGTTGTCCTTTACCGGGATGGTTGTGAGGAAAATTATGATCAGTTTCGTCAAGAATCGGCTGATGATATCTCTGGCCGGGGCCCAATTATCGTCCTGTTTGTAAGCTGATGGCCAACGCGACAAGATCAGAACCAATGTGTATTTGTAAACTTATAATTAGGATGCACGTAGGAACTAACCATGATTAAAATAGGAGAACCTTTCTAACAGACTGGATCCGTAGACTGGACTTGAATTTCGACGAGACTCAAGATTGTTCAAAGTGTGATGAGTTTGGTCGCGTCGGCTCCGAAGATGAACTGAACAGGCTGCAATCACATTGTAAAACCTGAAAGGGAACCAACAGCTGAAAAGCAAAAGCAAGATGATTGACTGGAATAGGACGAGTCCTCTGGCTTCGAATTCGTGTTTTTTGACCGTAGTCCTGTAACAGAATTCGATCGGAGTGGTCAAGGATCCTAAGGGTTCTCCGAGCGAATTTTCCGTCAAGCTCATGTGTTGGTCTTGATGGCTGATATATACATTCTCGATTGGCCAATAATTATTGCCCCAAACTAATCCGTCGATGCACATCCGGGTGACTGGAACCTATCAGGATCAACACGTAAGAAGAGAGGTTAGTTCATATTCTGACTTGACCGTGAGGTGCAGGCTGTTTATAATTTCTAGTGTGATCTTACTAACATAGAGTGAGAGCAAGAGCAGGGTTATTGTGATTGAATAGAAGGAAGTATTCCGACAATTTCTAATTTTTTTCCATCGCAAAAAACGGAGCATTGAATTTGAGGAAGCAGTTGCACTATCGGCGACTAGAACCTCGGGCAGCTCGTGTCCTTCGGATTTTTTTTGTGACATCGGATGATCAGGTCGGCAGTTGGAAGGTCGATCCTCGACTTTGGAGGATGTTGCTCTCCTTCGCGGAGGCCCTTTCCAGCCACCCGTCAAGAAGTAGAATTCGTACAGGACTACCAAAAGTAAACCTGAATAAATCGTGATCATCAGAGCACTCGAATAGCCGAAGAAGCTCGTCAAGTCAAAGCTCAGAAGGCCGGGAATCCATTGGAAGAGCAGTAAGGGGATAATTCAGGAAACTCTGATGTGGATAAACGCGTTGGAAAATCGGAAGCTTGGAGATAATGGTTTGTGCCGATGATGATGATGAATTTACTCTCGATCCATAGAAGCCTCCAACTAAACCAATGAATTGGAGAAAATCGCGAAAATTTTCCAAGTGAGCTAAGATCAAGAAACGATGAGAGAAAGTAGGTTGTTGATCAACGTGATGGTGCGGAGTTGTCCGAGAGAAATCAGGGATAAAATTTAATAGAGTCAGGGCTGGATTATCGCTAGATTCGTCCGAGTTGGTGATTGGCTTTAAGAGTTTAGAATCTAGGAGATGCATTGGCAATAAGATCTCATTAGATTGGGAGCGTGCCGCATCGTGGGTGGAAGAAGGATTGTTGAGAATGGCTTCCTTTTCATCGACCAAGGCCGAGTTGTAATCAGCTTCTTGAGTGGTCAATTTCCGTTTTGATCTCCAGCTGCCACCGATCCAAGCCAGCCCGAACCGTTGATGCCATATTCGAGGAGGATGGAATCCCGTCGAACGTTGAGTTTTTACCCACATTTTCAGCTCTTGAGGACTGAGATCTTGAGGATTGAATTGGGAAAATTCGGTGGGTGTGTTCTGTTTGATGAGCTGGTCTAATGCCGGAAGCAAGAGTGGCGCGGCACGCGGAGAGAAGACATTCTTCGCCGGTATCCAATCACTTTCGGGCTCTATGAGTGACTGTCGGATCGGATTCAGCGGCCAGGAAGGTGCCGGCTGCTTGAAGCTATTGTAATTGTCGTTGGAAGGTTGGGAATAGTTTGATGCAGAGGAGCACATCCGCTCAGACGCCACGTCGGCCGAAGCTTGGAGAGAGAACAAAGGCTTCGTCGTTCTCCATTCGACTTCCGGGACAACATCCTCGACATCCTCCGGGCCGGGGTTCCGGCTGCGAGGCTGCCTTGGTGGTGGAACCGGCAAAGGCCTTCTTCCATGGCCGGCCGAGCCTGAGCCTTGGACTCCGCAATCCGCCTCGCGTCCCACACGGTTTGGGAATCTTGAAGGTCCTTCTGCGCGATTCAGTTGGCCCCGAGTTTGATACGCAGGCTGAGGAAGTTGAGTGGTGTGTGATGAGCAGTCATTTGTCGCCATTATGTATCTAACATGTGACCTTTGTAACAGATAAACAAACAAGCTGATGAAAATAGGCAAAACTGTAGAGATTGTTAGCTCTGTTGATGACAAAACTGGTGCAGGCACGGTTCCTCCAAGGTGACAGAGGATATGGTACGTTGTGATCAAACCTCAGGACTATACGTAGCTGGCCGAGCAAAGGAAGACTCAAGAGGCTCGATGGGATGCGTTTGTTCGCCGATTAGATCGTCGGCCATTAGAACAATCCTTTATTTTATCAATCCATCAGATAAACGTAGAATCTCTTTCTCTTCGTGCTCACTTCCATCCCAACTGTGAGAGTGAGTAGTGAGCCGCCGTAGAACCTAGCAAGCCACGAGGCCCGGGCCGACTCAACCAAAGCGTGTCCTGCAGCTGCAGACTCAGCACTGTTTGTTGTACGTACTCATTGTTTGAGCTTCTACGTCTCTTCCTTTCTTTGAGAGGTGTTTACAACGACAATAACTGCTTGATCCTTGAGTCCTAATCTACCTCAAATACATATCTGGTCTCATTTGAATTTTCCCACCGAAACCAACCGAAGCAAACGGCGAAACGAAAAAAATAACCCCAACTTTGTGTTATTTTTAGTGATTGTTAAGTATGAAGTCGATGTCCTTGCCGATACCGGACGATCTGAGTCGGCTGGAAATCGTATTCCGGGAGCCGGAGTCGATCGGCGCGCTCGAAACATTCAACGATATCCTTCACCGGCCGTCGGCGACGATGCTCGGCACCCTCGTCGGGCTCTTCAACCGGGCTCTTCATCATCCTCCGAGCAGTGGGTTGGACTGCTATCAACTCGAGTCCAACCCACTCTTCATACTCCTCCTCCTCAAGCGAGTCTTGCTCCATTCAGATCCCATCGCCCCTCTCCAACCTTCGAAAATCAACCTCCGCTCGACATTCCAAGAGAGTTTCTTGCCAACCTTCATCAACTTCAGGGCTAATGCCCACCCTGACCAACCCATTAGCAACCTCAGCAACCACCTCGTAATCTGTCTTACTAGATTATCTACCCGATTGCTCAGTAGTTTTCATTCCAATCTGGATCCTATTGCTTCTTTAATCCAATCTTCCCTTCATTTCATTGGGAATCTTGATCCCTCCACCCCTCATCTCGAGCCCATTCTAGACCACTTAGTGGCAATCAAAGAAATTCTCTTATCTCTTCATCAATCCAAATCCATTGATTCAATCTACTTAATCCGCCAGGTAAAATCTCCCTCTTCTTCAGTACAATCATCATTTTATTTTTATGCCCGCATTATGGAAAAACAAACAACTGATAAATAATAACTTTTTTTTGTTTGTTTGTTTGCAGATTACTCATAAACATTATGAAAACCTGTTTGCAACATATAGCCAGTTGGAGACGATTACCAGACACCTTTCCAGCCAGTTACTTGGGGCGGATAACTCAGAGGAAAGGTACCGGTCATATCAAACGGCGACGAGATTGATCAGTGTGTTATTGAAGATATTCAAGTTGATGGTCGAGCCGATGGAGGAGCACCGAGGAGTGCTCAGCGAAGTGATCGCCAAGTTCGTGGCGGACTTCCAAGTCGCTCTGGATCTCGAAATCCGTCTGATGGATTCTGCGGCTCCTCCGGCTCAGAAATTCAGCAGCCATGTCATGGGCTATGGCGCCCTCTTCCTTCAAATCCAAACCAATCAACCATCGCTCATTCCCGACGAGGTCTTGACAACTTATCTGAAGATTCTCGAATTCGTCTCTAGTCGTCATCAGCTTATCATCGCCGAATCTTCTTCTTCTGCTGCTGTTGGAGATCCCGGGATCCAACAGGACTTGGCGGCCTCAAGGGGAGCTTTAATCAGGTTTTATCGACTGCTGATTCAAAGCTTGAAGTTACTCAACGGCTCCTTGAATCCATGGAGCTCGTATTCCAACGACCCCGATCCTGCCTCCGGCCTGTCAAAGAACCTTTTGGAGAGTCTGTCGTCGGAGGAAGTGAGCAGATTGGTCTCGAGAGTCGAGCCTTTGCTCACCCTGAAGTTTGACTCGACCGGCTCTTTCGAGGACGACCGGCACCTTTATTGCGACGATGAGGATGACGAGGAGAAGGAGGAGGAGGAAGAAGATGAGAGCGACGAAGAGACAGGAGAGATCATGGAGATCGAGGAGATGGATCAAGGCGACATTCCCGAGGAAGCGCTGGTGGAGGAGGACAAACTGGACGGGCCTGATGGATACGAGCCACTCGACTCCCCCACCATTCTCGCCAATAAGGGCCAAACCCTCGACTGCTTCCAGCCCACTTATCCCATCTGGAACTCTCCAGCTAAGGATGACTGGGCCGCCTCAACTGAAATTACCCGATTGGAACCCTTGCAGATCGAAGCTCAAGCACTTCTATCCACCTTGAAAAGCTTGTAAAAATTCCTGATGATTCGTGACTTGGCTTTACTCATTTCCTCAACTTCCTAGCTTTCTAGCTTTATCTTTCTCAATGTATGGATATGAATTCTCCGTTTTTGTCCTGTTCAACTTGGTAGATGAGAATCATCTAGTTAGAACATCTAACACATGTGAATCAATTCACTCAAAATGTAGTACTGTCTCTGTCCTATCTCAAGTGCGATGGAAAAATGTTTTGGATTTCAACTTGTGCGGAGATGCAATCTGACTAAACTTGAGCTTCACATCCGATTACTCCATTTTTGTGATGTAAATGTGTACATTTCTGAGCTTTGCAGACCCGCCAAAAAATGCAAAGAAACAATAACAAAACGCAGAGGAGGAAGAAGCAGAAAGGAATGCAGTTTTCATCTATTTTTTACGACGAGAAGGTTGGTTAGATCTAATCTTTCTACGTTCTTTAAGTTCCCGAGACTTTCTAATCTGATCGACCGATTTCAAGCCAGCATTATTATTCCTACTACTACTACTAGCACTACCTTTCTTGTTGCTGAAAGAAGAAGACACATGATGATTGCTGCTATTTTTATGGTGTTGGTTATGGCGAGCATGACCGGAGAAGTTAGATTTGGAAGTCGAGGAGGGCCCTCGAGTGACGACATGAGAGGGACCAAGGAATTTCTTCTGCCCATCGATCGTCTTAGTGAACACCTTTTTACCCCTCTTATTCTGTTCCATCCTGCCGTCTCTCCTACCACCAGTCGAATGAGTCGAGCGGTCCTGGTGATCATGAGGACCACTGGGGGCTCCACTAGTGTGACGGAACTTGCGATGGAGATGGTTGAACGGATGGGTGTTTTGGAGCTCCTGTTCGCCCACATTAGGGATCCGGATCTTCTGGGCCTTCTTCCAGTTGTCGAAGGAACCCGTCTTGAATGAGGCCGGCAACTTGACCCCGCTCTCGGTCTTGACCAGCTTCACATTATCCTGGCCCACCTGGCCCACTTTCACAAACTTCTTCGTCTTCCGATCCCACTTCACTTGCGACGCCTTCTGTGCATTCGACAGACACGCAAGCTTTCCCTCGTCGTTCGTCCCTAAATCAAATAGCGCTACTTTGCTCTGGGTCACAAACTCCGCTGACGTCCCTTCGTTCAAGTTGTATCCCTTCTCTTCCGCTGCCCCACTCTGTTCGTACGTTAGATAGGCCTCAGGATCTCGGAAACCTTCCTTGACTTTTGGCTTTTTTCGCGGCATCTCGAATGTTTCCTAATATTGTTTATACACGAGGAGAACAGTCAGTTCAAAGAACGTCAATCAACACTGAGAAAAATTTCACCTCAAGTTCGCCTTCGGTGGCAGCAACAAGCGCCACTTGCTTATCGGATGGACCAGACGGGCAAGTTTGTTTAGCGAGAGATGGGGAAGGATCGATGATCTGTTCAGCACGGAGTTGGTCTTCTCGGAGCTTAGCGGCCTCCTTAGAGCCAGCGATCTTCTTTCCCATCGATTTCCGTCGGTCTCTCATCAGCTGAGCCGCAACGCCTTTGCCACGGGTGCCGATCTCAAAGACGGTCTCGTTGGGAGTGAACTGGTTCACTTTGGCCAGTAATTGGTCTCTCAATTTGACCGTCTGATCATCCTTCTTGGTCCTCTTGACACCTCGTTGGGTTGAGGGGAGCTCTTGTTTCCGATCCTTGAAGATGAGATGGATCGAGGCTTCTTCGTTCTTGGCCCCACTGAACCCTTTGCCGTTCAGCACAAACTCTTTGGCACGTCGATGGCTCTCATTACTCGCGGTACTCTGGCTCTTCTCATACATCTTCTGAGCCCGCTTGACCACGGTGGCGAGGGCGATCAAGGCTGAATTGGGGGAGACGAGTGTTTCACGGACGTATTCGGTCTCGGCGTCGAGCAGCTCTCGAGGAATCGTTCCGATGACTAAGCTTGAGGAGAAGTCCGTCTGACTCGGATCCTCGTTGGCTGGTAGGGGACAGGCGAGCAGAGGCCTTGACAGGAAGAGTTGCAGGTCCATCAGGAAGGGTAGTTCTGATTGGGTGATCAGTGAGTAAGCCCAGCCCTTCCTACCGGCCCGAGCAGTTCGTCCAACTCGGTGAACGAACGCACGGGCAGAACTCGGGAAATCGTAGTTGATGACGTTCTCGAGGATCGGAATATCGATCCCTCGGGCCGCCAGATCGGTGACGACGAGGATGTTGGTCTGGCCTAATCGGAAGGAGTCCAGTTGTTCCCGACGGGCAGTCTGGTCTAGTGCTCCATAGATCAATGAGACCCGATAGCCAGCTGCAACCAAAAGTCCACCAAGATACTCGACATGGTGCTTGGTGGCAGTGAAGACGATCGTTTGATGGGCTGCAAGCTCCCGAGTTGGCTTGCGTCGAATTTTTGATAGGTTCGCCCCAGATCCACGCGAGAAATTCGGTTGAGATTGGTGGTTGAAAGACTCATTTGGTTGTTCTGTTGTGTCGGCCTTGGGTACACCGACGATGTTAGAGATCAAGACCAATAGTGCAGCCTCCTTTTCGATCGGCTTGACGCTCAAGAATGCCATCTGAAGGTCCGAGCTGATCTTTGATTCACTGTCCAATCGGATCAATTTTGGATTCTGTAATCCAGCCTTAGCGAATTCGACCAAACTCTTGGGTAAGGTGGCTGAGAATAGTAAGGTTTGTCTGTTGGCTGGCAGTCGATGTAAGGTTTCTTCAAGTTGAGTCGCGAAACCCATCTCGAATAATCGGTCGGCTTCATCGAAGACAACAAATGCCACTGATTTTAGGTCGAGGTTCATTTCGACTACCAGATGAAGTAGACGCCCTGGAGTTGCGATGATTCTATGAGAGAAGATGGAGTGGTTAGTAAGGTATCAAGGCTCTCTGATTTATTAGTAGGATGGATGGATGACTCACACATCCGGGTTAGTAGAGAACATTGTGAACTGATCTTCGAGTGAGTCACCCCCGACGATCAGACCCCACCTGAGGCCTTCAGCCTTGTGATTCGTTTCTGAGTCTTGAGATGTGGAAGGCTTAGAGCGATCGCCTTGGATGAATCCTTTGGCGAGATCTTTTCCGACCTTCAAGACCTGTAGGGCCAGTTCACGGGTGGGTACGAGGATGAGTGCTCTGATACCGAACTGGACTGAATGGACACCTGACAAGGTTTGAATGAGTGGGATGAGGTAGGCCAGTGTTTTCCCAGATCCGGTCCTTGCCATTCCGACTACATCTCGTGGTGGACTGGCGAGGATGTGTGGTAGGGCGGCGCGTTGGATGGGTGTGGGGCTGTTGAAGCCGCGCAAGAGGATGGCTCTGAGTAGTGATGGATGTAGGCCGAGTGATTGGAAGGATCCCCCGCCGGTGAGGGTGGCTGGGTTCTTCTTCTTGTTGTTGTTGGTTGTGGCTCTTAGTACTTTTGAGCCTGCTTTGAAGTTGGCCTTCTTTGATGATAGCCTGATGAACTCATCCTCGTCGTCGTCAGATAGTCCGAGTGCTTGATGCTGCTGCTGTTGGTTCTTGCTGATGTTTGCGAGTGTTTCGGTTAGGTCGATTGCCTGTTCGCCATCCGATGACTCGTAGTTCTCCTGTCCGTCCATCTTGACTCTTGATCCTGTTGACTGTTGACTGTCTTGACTGTTTTGACTGTTTTTTTTTTTTTTTTTTTTCTTGCAAATTGAATATTCATTTTTGAGTTTGCGCATACAGACTGCGGCAGAGCACACAATCGACGCGGGTGTGTGCGGGCTGCGCTGGATCTCTACTGCCCCTGGCAGCTTCAAGAAAGAAAGGGAGGGCCGATGACCAAAGACTGCAACAAAGACAATACATACCCAGGAAAGAACATGTTCAACCGATTCGACCCAGAAACTACCCAGACAACCTGTAAGACAGTCCTTCATCAGCTGCATATCCAGATTCCAAACTGATCATCACCACTCGATCTGTACTGGCACACACAACCACAGATGTCGTAGTCGAAGCAATAGACAAGTTATGCTGCAGATTCAGGTGTTCGTTCGGCGAGAAGCTCGGGAAGGCCACCGGAGGACTAGCAGCAGAAGAGATCGAACACCGCAAAGCGCTTCTGATCGACATGCGAACGAACTTACTCCCCCGATTAGACCAACAACTGACCGACCTCTTGATCTCACTAGACATCTCCGATCTCTCAAGGGAACCTAACCCAAAGCTACTGGCCACCTTAGAAATCATCAATAAGCTAGGCGACACACTCGGCCACCTCAGATCTTCAACCGACTCCATCGCACTCGGTCCTCGACAAGCATCCGAAAGCGAAGACTACTCCTGCGGGGTACTGAAAGTCTATCGATCCAATCGTCTGCTCTCCAAGATCAACGAGCTCATCGAAACTAAGATCTGTTCATTATTCCATCATTCTGTCGATTTTATCGAAGCCTGGCAGTCATCAAATACTCCTCAGAGGCACCGTTCTGAATTTTATCCTCGCGCCCGTAAATCCAATTCCCTCGATGACCGAATGAAGCTGATCTCGATCACCGGTCTATCCTGTTGTATGATCAGGGGGATCATCGATTGGCTACCATTGGACGACTTTGCAATCCTTCAAACCGAATGGCAACCTCAACTTGATCTACTCAATTCCCATCTGCTCGAGTTGGTCAACCGCATCGGTCTACCACTCCCACCCGAAGTCAAAAGACGAAAATCAGAAGACCAAGATTCTTATCAATCTGATTCTTCTTCTTCTTCTTCTTCTTCTTCCTCAGCTTCACCCAAAGTCCAGATCGAAGTTGAGAATAGTCCGACAAATCACCAGAACCAACCGGAGAAGAGCTCAACCACTGAGAACCCAGCCGAGAAGAACTCAACCGATGTGAACTCACCGGAGAAGAACTCAGCCGATGTGAACCCACCGGAGAAGAACTCAACCATTGAGAACCCAGCGGAAAATATCTTAACCAATGAGAACCCGGCAGAGAAGAACGCTACAAGCATACCCAAGGTGGCTCAAACTAAATCCTCAGGTGAGAAGGATGGATCAGAAGACGGATCAGATTCTAGCGATTACGATAGTGATTACTCGGGAAGTAGCGCATCGAGTGGCCAGTCCGAAGATATTCCAGTGAGACGGTTGACGGTGGAACTAGCCAAGCAGGCTATCCCGATCGTCAAGCTCGTCCGGATCTTCTTCAAAAAGCTGTCCAGGCGAGGCTCTAACCTGAGGCCGTTTACCCTGGATGAGGAGATGAGCTCGGACGAGTTGGAGGCTTTGCTCGAGAAACTTAACGACTTCACTGAGGCGGTCAATGAGGTCGTGCGGATCCTACTGAAGATCTACGATCAGGATGATCTCGGTGAAGAAGAGCTCGAGCTGATCAGAAACAAGAATAAATCGATTCCCGATCTCTTCGATGGTGCCTTACTCCTCCTGGCCTTCTATCTCGTCCCTATAGATCCATCTCAATTTAATCAAGATCCGGCCTCCCCTAATCTGTTCCATTCTTGGTTCCATGAACTTAGGACATCGGTCCATAAGGCTACTGACAATTTTCTATCAGGCACATATGATTTTGAATCAACTGCATTTGAGTGATCTTAGCGTCTCCTTCTTGTCTCTCTTCCGTATCTTACAACCCCTTTGTAGTTTTGCTTTATTATGTTGGGGGATATTTTCTCATTATGAGTTACAGCTCACCATCAACAAGAATTCATCTTGGATAATCTTTCTTGAACAATTTACATTGTATGTTTCTACTACTTTTTTTCTTAATCCTCTGTAGGGAGGTCAAAATCCACTTCTAAATCCACACAATTCAAAATAGATCAAAAGTTTAGGTGAAAAGACATTGTGACTTGTTTTGATCAAAGTGCTCCCTCTGTTATGCAAAAATATTAGGCTAACCACCTTGAATGATTGCTTTCCAACACATAAAGTTAACCCTGGTTTTCTCTACTTCACAACAATCCTCTCCCTAGGAAAAAGAAAAAAAAAAAACAAAAGAATGTCAATTTGATAATTGTGGGGATTTTTGATCATGACTGGTTTAGCAGCACCACTTGATGGGACAAAAGATCAATGAAGATGTTTTTTGTTTTGTTATTCATACAATGGAAATGTGATTGTTCAATTTATATATGCAGTGAAGACAAATTGTCAGGGTTCACAATCAAACTTGAGGAGCCATTTCAAAGGTGTTTCTGAGCAAGATGATAAATATTTTATTTTATTTTTTGATGGTGTGTGTTCACCATCAAAAAATAAAATAAAATATTTGGAACTGCTACAAAAAAAACAGATGTGGGGCATATTGTAACACAAAGGAACTGATTGATCAAATAGCCTTTCAAGGTATACTGTGTAAACAAACTGTAACATAGGAGGGTAAACTAACAGAGTCTTCAATCAAGCATTAAAGGTGAATGAACCAGTTGGATTGGTCAGGAGGTTTCATGTTCTCTGAGGCCTTGGAATGAGCCATGATGCCATATAGAACATGCTTTACTGGTGTTATTCAGACAGAAGACCAAAGGAAAGAAGACATACCCATCTCAATTAAGAGTCCATACTCTTGTCTTTTCTTGTTATCTTACTCAACCCAGTTCCCATAGAGGCAGCCCATTAAAGCATCATTCCCTCTCCAGCTCTTTTCCTCCCAAGAGTACTTCCACAGCAGCCCTTCCAATTTGCCCTCCCATACCTCATCATAAGACCTTGTGTAGCTGTAATGCCAGTGCTAAATGATGGTGGCTTGGCCACCAATCCTGAAATGCCCTTTCCAGTGGTACATGGTTTACACCACCAGCACAAGCATGAAAAAAGCCAGAAGTTGAATTGTTTAGGGCCAGAAAGGCGGATGTTTCATGTTTTGATCATGTAGTCAGGGTGCTCATTGCAGCAAAGATTAAAGGAGTGAAGTGTAGGTTGACATTTTTCAGGGAGCAGTTGGTAGTCGGCACTTAGTATGGAACAAAAAATATAAAAGAAGGGTCTTAGTTAATTGAATCCCAAATCTAGGAGGATCAACTCTCAAATGTGGGAGTTGTTTGGCAAACTGTGTGTGGACCATCCCAGGATGTCCCCAGCTCCTACAAAAACGCAGTCCCCCCCTCAAACTTGGGAGTCACACCTCCCATTCTTGCACTGAGAATGGTTGTCCAATCCTGAGGAATAATAATAAAAAATGAATTCTCCAGAAATTTTCCCCTTGGTTTTCAAGTGTACAGCTCTCAGAGGCCAAGAGAAAAAATCCCAGCCATTGAGGGTGTACTGCTGAGAGTTGTACACTCTCATCATTTTTCACTTTTTTTTTCAGATATTTTTTCATTATCATCACTCCTGGCCTCTCAGCTACCCCCTCCATATTTTTTTGTATTTTTAAAAACAAAAAAATGCATTTTAATTTCATTTTTTTAAAGTATGATGCAATCAATTTTTGCGTCTTTTTGTTCCACGTTCTCTTTTATCATCTCACTGCCCACCAGTGTGCAAAACCTTGGAATCTGAGAATGTACATTCTTTCTTTAAATGAATTAAATGGGGTGCTATAGATAACATCTGGGAGGGCACTGTACATAAAAACCATCCCTTTTTCATTTTTATTTTTCTGTATCCAATTTTTCATTAGGGGGGTTCACGATTGAACTTTAAGGCCATTTTTAAGGTGTTTCTGATCATAAATTTATGATTTTTTTTGTGATGTACAGAAGGTTCAGAAACCAGTAAATTGGAAAAACTCAAAAAAATTGTAAAATGTTGCTCATAAACACCTTAAAAATCACTCTAAAGTTCAATCGTGAACCCCCCTATTCAATTCATTACCCCCCCACTTCTGGTGCTTCTTAACTAGTATTCTTGACTATAAATTCTTTCACCTACATTTTGAGGGGTGTGAAATCTTATGGTGATACTGTGTCCCGGCTGGTTTTATGGCGCCTTCAGGCCATCTTCAGCGGACTAGGCGATGTCATAACCGGGGGATACAGTTGTTAATTGTAGCCATTCAGGGTTCGACGTCACCGGGCCGGCCAATTAGGCCGTTGACCGTCGAATTATAGAATTTTCTGCACCCGCGGTGTAGTCGGAAATACTTTCAGTCTTGTACTATTTCGGACTCGCATCAAGTGAGCTACTACTCGCTCCAATGGTAACAAATACATCAGAACGTGTGTTGGTTGGATCAGGTTACTTCAAGTCCGGACTTGAGCTATTTGCGGCCACGTTGAAGCTCGATTGATGGATAGAGACAGATTGACGGCAATGTCAATTAGCCATGTGACATGATTAAGACAATAATGCTTGCAACCTTGAGCCGGAAATTTGCAAGAGAGGACGATGCGCGATAAGATGGAAACACCCAAAGGAGATCAGCTCTTGTCCGAAGGTTTGTGACTTGGATACATTTTAGGGAATAAATGGATGGCTGGGTGGTACTTGGTACTGGGCCCGATCCGGCCAGTGTCCTGTGAAAACAGCTACTTGGCCGGAATAGGATGAGGCTCTTTCTCAGGTTTCTTATGCGAAGTCAGCTACATATTCTGGTCTTTGTTTGGAACTTTCTCCCTCGGCTTGACTATACGCGGACCGTGCCGGCCCTGCCTCTTGCATCCCCCCAGCTCTGGTTTGACGTCTACTGGGACAAAGGCCATCGTACCTCTCCAAATCCATCTGCAGTACATCTTGTCCTTAAATTCCTTACTCTTGGCCGTGGTGGAGTCGCCACAGTTCCTTCCGCCATCACACCCAGTAGATAAACAGAAACAAGTCGTAGTAGTCTGATATATCTTAATATAATTGTAACAATTCCTTCTTCATTCACACACTAACATCTGTAAGAACTTGTGTCCTCTGATAGCCTAGCTCAGTCAGTTTTTACCGTTAACAGATTTCTTCTAGCATCACCAACCCACCTTCTAGCCTAAATTCATCCATAGAAAAAGAAGTGCGACATCGAAAACAGAAGAAAGGCATCAACCCAATGGACTCCGGTATTGAACCTAGACCACCCATGCACGGTAAACAGGCGCATTTCATCAAGTGCCAATAGGATTCAAATTCAACTGACGCAGAATCGGTTCACTTCTTCTGCATAGGTCTTTTCATCGCACTCGGCCAGTTGGAGCGCTATGGGCGGGAAACCCCGCGCCGCAGAATGCGGGACATTTCCGAGAAATCTCTTTCAAGCCATGAGATCGATGCCGGCAAAGCCCTCCTGGTCGAAGTGCAAACCAGATCTCTACCCATATTGCAGCTGCAGCTCCGCGGCTTAATGCGATCATTAGCCACAGGGCCTTTGAATGAAGAAGAGTCCGAATCCGATCGAAAAATCACCAATGCCCTCGAGTTCGCTCTACAACTCGGTGCCACCCTCAATCTAATCGACCGTTCTCTCGCTTCCCTCGCTTCCGCTCCCATCTCGGAGGAACTCGGATTTACCTGCAAGATAGATCATGAGTACGGTGTATTGAAGAGATACAAGTGTATCGATCTTGTCCAGAAATTTGATCGTCTTCTATCGCGCGAATTCGCCAATTTGTTAGGCCTTTATTTCAGCTTGATTGAGCTGTACCATTCCAACATACATTTTCCGATTCCTGCATTTCTTTCCAATTTGGACCTGGAGGTTCCCAGACTCCAAGGTCAAATAATCAAAAACACTACTGAAGCCTGGCGCAGTATTGATGCTATAATCCGATCGTCCAAAGGATCCGATTTCAGCTTTCTCCAACAATCATGGCGGGAAGACAACACCCGTCTTAATATCTGTCTCTGCGACTTGTCCGAGTCTACCCTAGAGCTTGAAAATGACAGATCACAGGAAAATGTACTTCTAAACCTAGATCTTATGCATCGTATCCAGCGAGCTAAACCACTTGCCCTATTAGGCGAGGAATTCCTCGACAAATTGATGGACACCTACTATGCTAAAACATCATTCACGCTCAGTCCTAGCGTAAGTTCCTACGACATGGGGTGTTTGAAGAAGGAAACAAGTGGTTTGTGTGCCCATATTCTGAAGATCGTGAAAAGCTTCACCGGGTCCGGACCAGCAAACGAAGACGACCTTCATGCCGAAATGCAAAAGATATTGGTTTGGAGCAAGGAACTGTCCCGTCATTTTGATTCCTGTATGACGCTTTTCGCATTTTTTCTTATTCCTGACCCTTCTCGAATCGATCCTCCTTTCCCTGAAGATCTTCTCAGATCTTCGTTCTTTGAATTGCGATCCCAACTCCACCTGGCCCTAGAACAACTCTTGGCGGCTGATAGAAAGTTAGAAACATTGGTTGATTAGCTGTGCGACACGGTGCATCATCAAATCGAACAATCGGTGATCAAAGCAATTCAAGGCAAACTTACAGATTCCTCGACAATATTCAAAATGTTATTTTTTTTTTGTAGTGTTGTATTATGTAGCTTCAAACATGTTTTGCCATCCTTTTCTGTCTCCTCCTCTAGTTTTTCATCATCGATCCCAAAAATTGTTTAGTAGAAATCCTCCTCCCTTGACTGAGACCTGTGTATGGAGGCACTGACATGCCAAACAAGCCAAAAAAATTAAAAAACACATTTTGATGCCTCTGAAGTGCCAAACGAGCCAAGGAAAAATCAAAATCACATTTTCACAACCAATCTTTTGAAATACATACCTCTGACATGTGCATACTGGCCAGGCTGTATTCAATTGCATAGGGATGCCAAACATGGTACCAAGACAAAACAGCCATTACATATAACACAGAGGGTGGTCCTAGCAGTCAAACCGAATGGGATGACGGCCCGGATGGCAAATGTATCCTCCAAATACCAAGGGATACTTGAGGGGCACTGGAAGAATGCTGAGGTGAAGGACTACATAGTGCTTGAGACAAACATCTTTTTTGGCTCCAAGGGTACCGGGCCGCGATTGCCGACGTTGGGACCGGTAAGATCTCTGTGGGACTCAGCAAGATTGAGAAGGCCAACAAGCCTTGCAACATCATCGGCTCTGGCGCTAGCTTTGAAGGAACACATCAGACAAGGTTCTTAGCTCTCAGGCTGCTGCCGTCGGGGCCACGGTGTGGTATGTCCATACCTTTCCATGTATCCTCATTTTTCTTCATCATTTACATATATTCTTCTTAGTATTATTTCATATTCAAGTTCTACACATTATTTCACCCCTAGTCACCTCTTACAGCTTTTCAGTATCTCTTGTAGTTCTCTAGTTATCATCCCCTCAGTATATTCAGAGTTACAGAACAGTACATTACTTTATACATACAGTACATATACATTACACATTATATAGTTACAGTCTCTATGTAGAATCAATCATTCATCATGGTGCATCACCATTACTACATACTACATATTCAGCATAACCATAACTACATACATCAATCAGGATAACCTTAGCTACATTACATCATGTACATATTTACTTTCACACTGCTTTGACTTTCCGTACCTGATTAACACTTGTATACACAGAACATCTGTCACATAGCTACATTATTTCTCATCACTCATTACTGTTTAAGATTTACATTACCCATAGCCAGGATTTCCCCAGCCATGGTGCTTTGCTGTTGTATGTACATGTTGTACACATATATACTCTTTCTTCCCTCTCATGTATTTTCCCCCGCATGCTATGTACCTTGCCTGAATTATCTTCTAACCATAGTCTTAGAAACCAGAAATACTAGTATCACCCTTATATCTTTACCAGATATCATTGCCAGTTATAGTTGCCAGTTATACATCCCCCCTTGCCAGTTATAAATCCTCATTTTCCAGATTATCCCCTTTGCCAGTGCCATTCCTCATTGCCAGTGTTACACCTTTGCCAGTATTATCCCATCACACCTCATTGCTCCTCCTCCCCACACCTCAGTAGGTACTACATACACAAGCTCATCAGTAATAGTAGTCTAAGATAAAGTAGAAATCAGCCACACCTTTCTTCTTCTTTTTCTTAGTGTTACACTCTTCCCATTAGCATTGTACAGGAGGGAAGCCTCATCAGCACCTGTAGTCTCAACTTACATTAGTACTAGTGTAGTTGTCTATATCCCCTCCAAGCTCTATCTCCCTGGTTGAGTAGTTCCACAACGGTATCGACCTTCAACGGGGCCACGGTATCGACCTTCAATTACCTGGTTTCTGCTATACATACTGTGTAGGGAAGCACAAGCACAATATGCATGCCCGTCAAAGGGGGCTGCAGGGAAGTGCATCATTATCCAGGGATGTTTCAGTGCTTGTTTGGGTAGTTTGGTCGGTTGATTTGTTCAAAAAATGGGTTTTCATTTATAGATTTTTTTGGCACATTTGGCACACCAGTGCCTCCATACCTGTGGCTTCCCATCTTTGTGTTCAAAAATTTGTAGTGACATTGAATTTTTTTTTTTTTTTTTTTTTTTTTTCCACTCACCACTCTATTTAAGGCATCTTGTTGCAAATCATCTATCAGAAAAAGAATATTTTAGTAGCAGCTGCATGGATTTCAGTGGTCAGTGTTCATGAAGGAGTCACCTACTCCAGTCAAATTGTCAATCCTTGAATTGATAGAGTAAAGTCTTGCACAATAATCCCCATCAGCTCTCTTTTCCATGGAATGTATTCCCAAAGATGTTTTAACACAAGTTACAACCCTCAAAAGTGCAATATCCACAATTCAATCTTACATGTGGTGATCACAAGTAGGGTTGACGGCGCGCTCCCTGGGTGCGCGCCGCGCACGCGTGCCCCTGGTGCGCCCAAAATCTTGAAAAAGGGGGCTGGCGTGCACTCGCTAACCTTAACTTTTCCAGGGGAGTCATCCATCAACTGCCCATAAAGGTTATGGTTTTTGGGTTTCTTGTTGGTTGAACTCATTCTTTGGCTCTGAGACCTTGGTTTTGTCCCCAAATGGTGTGAAGTGCCGCATGGCACCCACCAATTGTGCCTACCTGATCAATAAAAAAATTAAAATTATGAAATTGAAAAATGTGGAATATAGACAATATGTACATGTTTTTTAGTGCAAAAAAATGGTGCACCTTCTAATGTGCCAGCCAAAGATTTGCATCACTGGCAGTTTGGAGGCGCCTTCCGGCGCGCACTTTTCCCAAAAGTGGCACCGTCAACCCTAGTCACAAGGCCTCATGTGAGCTTGATGTATATGTAGCGCTTGGTTGAACATCTTGTGTCTGCGATAAATATCCCAACAAGCTTGGGGACTGTATACTGTAGTCTTGAAGACCTCATAAGGTGAGGATACTTGTTTCAATGAGGGGATGATGAGCAAATCAATAACAGATCTAGTGGTGTTTTAATGTGGGGATATTTTAAAATATTGGAATTAACATGCAACTTTCTGAACCAGTGGATGAGAAGAAGATTGAATGGAAAAAAATCTGTGGACTTTTAGATTGAATATCCTGGCATTGGTCTTGCCATTCAGATTTGAAATAGCCTTCTCCCTTGAAATCTCCCACAGCAACATCTTAATCATTTGGAATTTCTGGATGTCAAATAAAACAATGGAAGCTCTTGGTAACTTGAAATTGTCTTGAAATTAGTTATGTCAAATCCATTGTGCATGAGCTACCAGGTATAAATCAATAAACCAATCAGAGCATCCATATTGATGGTCAAGCTACACCGTATTAGCAAGCTCGGATTAGTACAAGATTAAGGTGATATCTCCCTCCAGCTGTATTGGTGGTGGCTGAGATGGTCTAAATGTATGTGTTATGGATTTGAGGTCAGTTGATCCGACTTGATTGGAGTTAGTTTGCATGTGTGGGCAGGCTTCATGAGGACCCAGGAAACCCTCTATATAGGTGGGTAACCAAAAATCCGGGATTTTGCAAAGATTCATACATTTTTGGAAGCCATTCATACCATTTCCTGCGTATGCTGAGAGGA